ATAAAATATAAATATAGGAGATCTGAGGCAAGCTTACCAAATGCTTAGAATCTGTGGCATTTGCAAGTAGGATTAGAATGGTGTTTTTCGCTTTAAGTAAAGTACATAAAGCGTGTACTCTAGCACAGCATCAATTGCAGTAAACACCACATACACAACAGTGTTTGCACACAGGTTTTGTCATTCTGGTTCTGACAACCAATCTTTTGTATTGCCATGTACAGTATTGTTAAAAGGATTAACAACTCAATTCAGAAGTGGTTTTTTTCTGTAATAAGGGTACTACAGTGTTTCATACTATTACAATTAAAGCAAGCAGTACTAAATGGCAAATTTTAAAACTAAAATAAGAAATATTGAAAGGCAAACTTCACAAATTATCAATTTTCATGTGAAGGAAAAAAAGGATAACCAAAATTTATCACACTTTTCTAATAAAATGCTTTTGAAGTTGTTCATCTGCTTATCCACACATGTATAGAACTAACTAGAGAAGCTAAAGCAGCCAGATGTGTTGTTTTGCAAGTTATCAGATTGCATACAGATTTCTAAGATTCGGCAAAATGAACTGATTCTGCTGTACCATATGGCTCAGCAGAGATAAATATCATTAATGACCTGCTAATCTCTTCTTTCGTATAGGTGAAGTTTTCAGTAGACATTATTCATATCACAGGACAATAAGACTTCTCTGAGAAGTAGTTAGCAAGGAAGCAGGTAGATGCACATCTAATGCTAACAGTGGTTGTGCCTGTACCATAGCACTGATTCACTTGACATTCTCGTTCCCAGAAGCACCATCAACACTCTGACTGACTGCTTCAGAAGCTTCCCCAAAATAGCTTCATTGAAAAAATGCTGTCTGACATAAACTCCCCTTTATTTTTTACATTAAAGTGGCAGTTTAATTAACAATTGCTTCTGGCAGAAGTTTGATTTTAAAACCAGCTGTAATTGGTTTGGGTGAAAACCTTTAGGTAGTGGAGGGGCTACAGGAGTTGCTTCTGTGAGAAGATTCCAGAAGCTTCCCCTGTGTCTGATAGAACCAATGCCAGCAAGGCCCAAGATGGACTTGCCACTGTTCAAGGCCAAGCCCATCAGCACTGATGGAAGCACTGCTGGAATAACATTGTAAAGAAGGGTGGAAAGCCCACACTGGAGCAGGCTTCTGGCAGGACCTGTGGCCCACGGAGAGAGGAGCTCACTCTGGAGCAGGTTTGCTCTAACAGTTAAAAAGTCTGGCCTTCTAGGGATATCTACCCTGATAATTTTAAGCATTATTTGTTAATGATTTTATTTAATTTCTGTCATAATACAACTAGTAAAAGGTAAAATTATATATGCAGAAATAAAGGTCATAATTGCTAATATTCCTTAATGATGAAAGTAAGGGAGACCAAATGGAATGATGAATGCTATACAATTGAAAAAAGTAGAAAAATCTGACAGACTTTGTCTTTAAAGCTCAAAGAACACATCAGGGAACAGTATATTAATCAGATGCTCTGTCTCAAAGAAAAACCAACCGCATATGCAAGTCAAATTTGGCAAAGCAGCTTAGGCTTGATGAAAGAGAGAGTTTGACAATACTGACACATTTTACGACAACATTTTCAAAATGAGGCGTTTCACTCTGAAAAGTCCAAATGTTTCATTTTTGACATTTTCTTTGTAAAACATTTCAACTTTTCAATAGATATGTCAGCAGGTTGAATTCCTCCCACAATGTTTTTAGAAGTCAGAGTCATAGAGGAAGGAAAATATACTATCCAATCCCTCATCCTATATTCAAGTCAAATCCAATAAACACTTAGAGAGAGAATGGAACACGAGGAGAATATAACCCTCAGGTCATAAATCTTACATTATTACCAAAAATATCAAATCAGTGCCCTGTGGCCTTTTTGTGGAAGTCAATTCTCACTCTTAGAATGTATCTCTTTCCCAAGTCACCACTTCTACGATTAAAATCTTCTTGTCTTAGTAAACAAGTATAGAAATCTCAAATTATAGGCTGCAGAGAAGAAAGAAAGTACATTTTTCTTACTATCTTGACAACATATATTGAGAAAAAAAAATAATTGATTTTGGTCCTCCTCCTAAACCAACATACGCATCTTAAAAATTGTTTCCCTTTGTTTCTCAATATAGATTACACCCATTTTGATTCACACAAAACTGTGCCCCAAACATGCAATACATTTTGGGAAACAAAAAAAAAAAAAAAAAAAAGAGAAAAGGAAAAAAAAAAAAACAACAAAAAAAGAATGCTGTAATAAAGCTGAAAACTCATTTTCAGGAACCTGTAGTAACAGTCAAAGGAACCCAGACCTCGGATTAACAAAACTACCAGAGGCAGCAACAGCAGTGGTAGATAATAGCTCTTTTTGCCCTGTCAACTCTGCTGTTTCAACTCTGCATGGACAGGCTAAATACCACCAACAGTAAAACACTGCCAACTGATACTGACAGCAACACATCTTATGACACCTGTGTTGATCATACGCAAAAAGACCCACACAGCATCTACCACACGATTAAAGTTATACAGTATCACTCTGAAGGCATAGAACATCTGCTCGAAACTAAGCTTTATCAAGGAAAGGAAATATAGGACAAAACTACCCATGCATCAGATTCCTTACCAACAGGAATAAAATTATTTTCAGCCACCAAGACTCCCCTAGTGAAAATATATACAACAAAATGCAAGTTACTGCTCATCACTTGCTGAGCTGATGCTATAACTGTGGTATGAGAATATGGATGTGGAGATGCGTGCAAGTCTCATGGAAAACACAGCTTGCAATATTTTCTTCAAATGTGTTCTGTTTGGAGCCAGACCATGTTATTAAAATCTCACTAAAGAGATGTCACTTTTGATTTAAGTGACAGGATGTAATCTGATGGAAATGAGATAGAGATCTCACATAGAAGCAAAACACTCCTTAGGAGAATAATTAACACAAAAGAGATCATGTTTAGGATTATCCATTCACATCATGGCACAGTGAAGGGCAAGTGTACGAAATGCAGTACAAGTGGATGAAGTGTTCCAGTACATCACCTATTAAGCATTCCTACTGATCTTCAGAAGAACAGAGCAGTTCCAACAAAACATGGACATAAGAATGTTTATATATATTCCAGTTAAACACTGACTCCTCTAATTTACAAATAGATATTGAGATAGAACACAAATGTCACACCTAGGATTTAGAAAGCCTGAAAGAATTTTCTCCTTAAAACCACAGAATTCTTATTATATTCCTGTTAACAAAAACATTCAAGTCAAAGACTCCTTAAGTTAAGGGACCACTACTTGGGTGACATGCTCTAACCAGCATGCTCCAGTTTGCACATTCATGTAATAGTGTCTTTCTGATGGGCAGAGATTTCTTAAGACAGATGGCACTCTTACTCCTGAGAACACATGCTAAAACTACTTTATTTTGCATATGCACAGGTGATAGGCCAAGACAGATGTTAACAATTCTCACAAACCTTTGCACAAGAGGAGAAACAAAACACTGAAAAAAAGAGTCCGAGGGGATGCCCACTGAAGGACTATTTCTTCATCCACCGCTCAGGTCCAAAATCCCACCAATTCTCACTCAAAACATCACTGACAACCAAAAAAAATAAATAAATAAATAGGGAGAGCAAAACACTGACTTCAGATGGTAAACTGACTACAGGTGATGTGTGGAACAAAGGACAGAGTTATTTGAAGACTGAAGACTGACTTGCTTATGAGAGAATCATTGGTATGGTAGAAGTTGTGTTGATGACATGGAAAAAAAGTCACCTTTACAAGCCCAATGTCAAAAAGTCTCAAGGGATACTGACACATTCAAAAAGTAGAAGTCAAATAATCACTTCAGCCTGCACAAAAAAATTAAAAACAAAGGGCCCAGAATTATTATTAGCCTAAGACCCAGATCTTCCGGCAAATAGATGGAAAGATGGCTGCTCCTGTAAATAAGCACCAGCTGCAAAAAGCCTAGACTAAACTCAAAACAATGCAGTTCTGAAGTTGAATCGCTCCATATGTTCTGGCACTGGTGGAAAAGTGCAACAGGTGGCAATAATACAGGTGTTTCATTGTATAGCCTTGAGGGGTTTTTTTGGCAGCTTCAATCAAAGAAGCAACCAGTTGCTTACCCTTACCAATGTCTAAAAAATACAAAGCAGTGATACATGACTACCAAAGGAAGGCAGAAGGAGCTCACAGTTTAATAAACAATTCTAATTGACGATAATGCTACAAACAAATTTTGCATGGCCACCTTTATTAAGAACACTAAAGAACACGTTAATGCCAGGCAACAACTAGCATGGAAAATAATGTGATCATATCGATACAGGAAAACTTCAGTCTTTAGTTAGAAAAATTAATAACTACTATTTGTGGAAACAAAAATCTTCCAATAAAAAAAACATAGGTAAACAAATCATACCAGAATTAAACACAAGTACCATAATAGGTCTTGATTGTTGCCAGAGCCTTTGCTGCTTTCCCATGGATTTTCGTCTCAAGAAAATATTAGCAGCTTTCCTCAAAGTAAAAGAAAACAGGAAAATAAAGTATTAAAAACACTTTTATAAATACCAGCAGAACTCACAAAATGTCATTAAAACATGCACCAACTCTTCAGTATATTTCATTTTCTTATAATCTTTCTTCCTTCCTTCTCTGAAAAGAGTCACATTCTATGTCCATACCAGTAACATCACTACCATTAGACAGCTAGTAATGAAAAACAGTTCAGGAAGTATTATACCCATGCATGTTTGTTCATATTATCTATCTATCTATTTTTATACAAATATACATATTTATGCTTTATATCACTCTTGTGTAATGGGAACTATATATGCATTTGTAATAAGAAAGCATTAAAAAGTGGGTAGACACGAGGCTCTAACAGGACCCTCCCTAGGAGTGTAAAACTGCACTGGCTTTGAAATAACTGAAAGTATATTGTATCAGAATGACTTAACAAAACTACCTATAACTGATAGTATTGGTGGAGCATCCTTTAAAAAGTATATGAGTTCACAGCAAAAACAGCCCATTGCAGCTGCATCACCTTTTGAAATCAAGTAGCAGAATTGGTCACTCTAATACTTTATATTGTACTGCTACATATGCAATGACTGATGTATTAAGGGAACTGCATTTCACTATTTGTTCTAAATTTCTGCTAATGATATTTCGTTGGTCTATTTATCACCCACCAAGGACTTGCTGTTTAATCTCAATGCAACAGTTTCCCCACAAAAGTCATCATGACCAAAAATGTCACTCCTCAGAGCAGAAGGTTGGTTTGGAGTCAACCAAGAGTCTCTCCCAGCTTCTGTACTTCTGTGCTCGTTCTGCCTTCCTCATGTTAAAGTCAAGGTAGCCTCTGTTCCCTCCACCATGCAGGCCATTACTTCAGATGATCACCAGCATTCCTATTTCAGAGGAAATTTTGTGAAAAAGCAATTATAACCCATAGCTTGTACTCTCATAGCAATAGGAGAGAGCGGTTGTGTCTACTTTGAAATTCAAAAAACACTAAGTTGTTATGAATGCACACACACTATTGAAGTCTTTTCCAGGACATCTGTCTCCTTCTTCTTATTACAAAAAAAAAAAAAAAGAAAAAAAAAAACACCAAAAAACAAACAAACAATGCCAAATTTGCTTTGGACAACAGATGCTGACATAGTTTGTTTTATGCTGAGGTGCCAGCTGTTCCTTATGTTCCAAAAACAAAGCCAAACCTGCCACTGTAAGATTTATTACTGAGGTTTTGTATAAAGTGGCAATTTGTTCCAGGGGGACAATTATTCCTATTAGGTTTTCTTTATTTTTCTAAATACTCATTTTTATATGAGGTCACTGGTCTTATCATTACCTGTAAAGACTAGATATTTGCCATACGTATTCCATATTGCTTATTTTATAAAGCACATATTTATATTTTATAAAGCAAATATTTCTGTAACTGTAGCTATGTTTTCACCTGTGTTCATTTTTGAAGGGAGCAGAGCAATTGGCAAAGCCACTGTTTTTAGAGAAAAGCAGTTTGGTTAGGCAAAATTCAAGACGTGTACAGGAGTGCTCTTCCCACCACAGCAGCAAGGCGAAACCTATGACTCTGCAAGAAAAGGATCAATTTTCTTCCCTTTTCTCCATCTATATCTTCATGAATGACCAGTTCAGAGAAGGTCTTCAAACAAACCGTTGACCGATCCCGTATCTCACATCCAACTTTGCTTCCCTCATTGCAGTTACAACACAAACATGGTGAGTTCTATGGTGAGCTCAATTACCCAATAGCAAGATCTTGGGGCCCTTCCAAAATATCTATATATGTATGTTCCACAGCAACTGTCAAATACATGGAACTAATCCCTAACAAGTCTCAAGTATCTATTCACAAGCAGTCTGGTCACTCCATGTGTACATAATCCAAGAACCAGAATCTTATTTAGAGTAATACGAAAATCTACCAAAACTAAAGTTGCTAATTCTGGCTTTTTTCGGGGACTCCTGAATATTTTCACGTGTCCTGCTGTTTTCAAGAAAGACAGCTTCTGTAGCAATTTTTGATTCTCAAGTTTCTTTCTACTGGACAAATTCATAACATTTCAGGAGTTTCCCAAGTGACCTGTCTTTCTAATTTCCACAATAAACGGCACTGGGTTTTGTATTTGGTCTGGCTGGGTTGGAGCTAATTTCCTTCAATAGTAGCCAATGTGGAGCTGTGTTTTACATTCACAGCCAAAAAAATGTTGATAACACAACAGTATTCTAAATGCTGTTTAATAGCACTTGCACGGCATGAAGGCCACCTCAGTTTTCCACTCTGTCACCTCAAGGGAGTAGGCTAGGGTTAGGCAAGAGGTTGTGAGGGGGCACAGCCAGGACAGCTGTATCAAGTTGATCAAATCAATGGTCCATACCATATAATGTCACGCTGAGCAATAAAACTGCCAGAGGCCAGTTGTACCAAAGAGGCCTTTGCTCAAAGACTAGCTGGGCATTGGTCTGCCAGCAGGAGGTGGCGAGTGACACCTGGGTTTTGGGTTTTTTTCCCTTCATTTATTAAATTGTCTTTACCTCAGCCCTTTACTTCTTGCTTTTGCCCATCCTGCCATGGGCAAGTGACTGCGTGGGAGTTTAACTGCTGGCCAGGTTCAATCCACCCCTTCTCAATTTTCAAATTGAGAGAATTGTTTTTTCCAGAGATCAAACCTGCAAGACTTCATGGGAATATCAGCTTAACAGACACTAATAGCTCATAAGTCAGTGTTTGTTGGTGTACATTTCTCCTTAAAAAACTGGCACAAACTTAGGGTAAAAATGCAAATGTTTATTTCAGCAGACACCTGATCCTGATCTGTACAGCTGTCTATGGTATAAGCTCAAACTACTGCTGTGACAGTCAGCAAATAGGCATTAGACCCTGGAATAAGTGGGGATAACACCAGGTCAAATCTTTGGAGGTCCTTTTGCTTAAACCCAGGTTGTATCCAACCAATTTCAGGAAAGGACTTCTTACCCGAAGTCATGACATGCAATGCTGTCACTGAAACAACTCAAGCTAGATAAGGAAACCATTTCAAGACTACCTATCTCAGGCTCTGTGATTAATAAAATATTTTCTATATTTGCTGCAGTATATCTCCTCACTTAAAATGTGAATATCTGAGAAACAATTGTCGTGTCATACTTAAAACGTCAAAACCATACGTAGCATTAGAATGAGTATATCAATATCAATACTATTTTCAACTTAGCATATATTATCCATACAGACTTCACTTCAATAAAAGGGTGACTACTACATGCAGTGCTTACTTTACTTACAATGCTTCCAAGAAAAGGGATCAAAACAGGATATCAGCATGTGTTCTGGAAAAAAAATAAAAAATAAAAGACAAATCCCATGGTTGTCAGATAAGTCACCATGACTTCTTTCTGGCTTCAGCATCTTTACATTATTTGTTATTTAAAATGAGGTTTTCCATCAGAAACTGCATACCTCTGGGCAGTGGAAATTTCAGGAGCTTTTTGGATTTATATGCATACACATACCAACGATCATTTGAGCAATCTCTTGCAACAATAGAGCTTTGGGGGAAGGGGGGGGGTATTGCTCTGTTTTGTTGTGTTTTTTAAAAAAGACACACAAAAACATATCACAGGTGGCTTTTTACTTGTATTATTTTTATAACTCTGTTACTGATTATGAGAAAGATGTTTAAGAATAAACTCACTTTTCTTCATCAAAAACTAAGCTTTTAGTCTGCTGCAAAATGAAAATGCTTGACAGAAATATATTATTTACTGAATGAGACATCTACAGCATGAGGAAAGGAATTATTTGGCATTTATAGATTTATTTACCCTGGAAAACCAAATGCATCTTGCCAGATCATCTGTCACTTCTGTCCACAGTGCAAAGACCAGTCTTCCTATTGCTCCACCTCTAGGTCAATAATAACATCCCTATCTGTAAAATAACCAGAAAACCCTGAAGATTGGGAGTCATACTTTAAATGCCATAACTAACATTAGCCCCTTGTCATCTTTTGCAATGCACTCCCATGCTGTAATAAGAGTGTTAATATTATGAAGCTATATAAAAATTAATTTTGTATTTTAAAGAGTTTAGTTGAAACAAACATACATAATGAACCATATACTAAGCCTTTATCAGCTGATATGGAACAATTTCTTGCACTGGCGATAAACAAGCCAAGCAGTACGCGTTTAATTAGCTGTGATCCTGTTTGTTGCACATACTTCATTTTTTATTTACAAAAAAATCTACACATCAAATTAATTCTGGTTCATGACGCACTACACAAGCTAAATATACAGAATATATACACATATACATAGTGTGCTGCTTTGATGTTCCTCTATACATATTTTAGCTACTCAGACATGAATGAAATATAAAAATGTAATATGGTTTTAAACTAGCAAATATTTCTGCTTTAATTAGCCTTTCTGGTAACTCCTAGTGTTTTAATATCACATAAATATTGTTCCATGGCATTGTTTTTGAAAACTGGCAAAGCCTGACTGATTAAATTTCCCATAAAACCTCCCAGTATCAATTAAGTACATAAAAATATGTTCAAGTCATTTAAAGTAAGAAAGTGCTACACTAAGTGTGCTACATTATCTGACCTGTAGTGACTTCAACACACTTGTTTCTTCTGCACCATGACATATGTTTGCTTCTTTCATGTCAATTATTTCCAACAGCTGTGCAACTTGAAATCACATAAAATTCAGAAAAGAAAAATCACACATGGAGGTCAAAAGGAGTATCTGATCCATAGCACCATGAGCTCCTGATTGGGGAATTTGTAAAGAGGCAGCCAGTCTCCCAAGAATAGGTAGCTAATGGATTCTATGTGATTTTTCATAACATCACAGCAGGGTTGAGGTTGAAGGCACCTCTGGAAATCATATGCTCCAGACTCCTGCTCAAGCAGAGCCACCTAGACACAGTTGCCCAAGACTATGTCCAGGTGGCTTTGGAATACCACCAATGATGGAGACTCCACAACATCCCCAAGCAACCTGTGCAAGTGTTTGATCATCTTCACAGTCAAAAAGCATCTCTTGATGTTCAGAGTGAGTCCCCTGTGTTGCAGTTTGTGCCAGTTGCCTCTGATACTGACACTGAAAAAAGCCTGACTCCATCCTCCTTTCACCCTCCTGTCAAGTATTTATGCTCATTGCCAAGATTCTCCTGAGCCTTCTCTTCTGCAGGCTGAACAGTGCCAGCTCTTTCAGCCTTTCCTCATATGTGAAATGCTCCAGTACCTTAATCATCTTCTTTGACCTTCTTTGGGCTCTCACTAGTATGTCCATGTCTCTCTTGTACTGGGGAGCACAGAACAGGACCAAGCACTCCAGATGTGGCCACACCACTGATGAATAAATTAGAAGGACCACCTTCTTTGACTTGCTGGCAATGTTTTTCTGAAGGCAGCCCAGGATATCATTAGCCTTCTTTGTGGTAAGGACACTTTGCTGACCCATATTCCACTTGGCATCCATCAGGGCCCCCATGTCAGAATATAGTTCTGAGTCTGTACCTCAAATCCATCATAGGCAACCCTTTCATTATCATTCCGAGTCTCATTTCACCTCAATCCATAACATTTGTTGTTTCCATGGAACATTAAAGCTATATGTTTCTTTTGCAAGCAACTAATACCATGATGTCTAGTCACTTAGCTGGATAAGCACAGCAACGATTTACATTTTCAGTATTACTGACTAAATTTAGATCAATTTGGCATTAAATTTGGATCAATTTGGCACTAAAATAATCAACAATACTGAAGTAAGATACCAAATTCTGATCCTTTTAAATCATTAAATGTGTGACAGCCAATTCCCCTATAGGAAGGACATTTATCTTAAGTCCTTATTTTTTCCCTAAATTCCTTTAGTTCTATTATAGGAAATCAGAGGAGGTGTCAAACCCTGAGGTGTTAATTAAAGTTAAGACAAATAAAGGTAACTATGATATGATGCCAGTTATTTAAGCCCAGTGCTTTTGTTACAAAAGCCTAGCTCTCTCAACAAACAAACTAACAAAGCAAGAAGCTCAGGAAATTGCTTTGCTCACAAGCTTCTTTTGTACCACAAGTACTTGAACCCTATTTATAACATTGAATTGGTCTTCAAGGATCACCTGCTACAAGCTCAGGAGTGTTGCATCCCAACTAGAAGGAAGTGCAGCAGGAAGGCCAGGAGACCTCCTTGGATGGATAAGGACCTGCTGAGGAAAATTCAAATGAAAAAAGAGGCTTATGGAAAGTGGAAACAAGGACATGCGGCCTGGGAAGAGTACAGGGATATTGTCAGGAAGTTAGGGACCAGGTTAGGAAAGCTAAGGCCCAGTTAGAATTAAACTTGGCTAGGGATATTAAGGGTAACAGGAAGGGATTCTACAGGTACATAGCAAATAAAAAACAGATTAGGGAGAACGTAGGCCCCCTCAGGAAGCTCTCAGGTGAACTAGCTACACAGGATTTGGAGAAGGCTGAGGTTCTGAGTGACTTCTTTGCCTCGGTCTTCTCTGGCAAAGGCTCTGACCACACCACCCAAGTCTTGGAAGGCAGATGCAGGGACTGTGAGAATGAAGACCTTGGGTCCACCGTAGGAGAGGAACTGGTTTGAGATCATCTTAAAAATCTGAACGTGCACAAGTCCATGGGACCTGATGAAATCCATCCGCAGGTCCTTAAGGAGCTGGCAAAGGAAGCTCTGAGCCGCTGGCCATCATATTTGAAATATCATGGCAGTCAAGTGAAGTTCCTGATGACTGGAAAAAGGGAAATATAAACCGCATTTTCAAGAAGGGGAAAATGGATAACCCGGGGAATTACAGACCTGTCAGTCTCACCTCTGTGCCTGGCAAAATCTTGGAGCAGATTCTCCTGGAAGACATGCTAAGGCACATGTAAATCAACAAGGTGCTTGGTGACAGACAGCATGGCTTCACTAAGGGGAAATCCTGCCTGACCAATTTGGTGGCCTTCTATGATGGTGCTACAGAACTGATGGAGAGGGGTAGAGAAGTTGATATCATCTACCTGGATTTGTGTAAAGCGTTCGACACTGCCCCACACAACATCCTTGTCTCTAAATTGGAGAGACATCAATTTGATGAATGGACCACTCAGTGGATAAAGAACTGGCTGGATGGCCGCACACAAAGAGTTACAGTCAATGGCTCAATGTCCAGCTGGAGACCAGTAACGAATGGTGTCCTTCAGGGATCGATGCTGGGACTGGTCTTGTTCAACATCATTGTCAGTGACATCGACAGTTGGATTGAGTGCGCCCTCAGCAAGTTTGCCGATGACACCAAGCTGTGTGGTTTGGTTGATATGCTGGAGGGAAGGAATGCCATCCAGAGGGACCTTGACACACTTGTGAGGTGGGCTGATTCCAACCTCATGAAATTTAACCATGCCAAGTGCAAGGTCCTACACCTGCGTCGGAGCAATCCCAGGCACAGCTACAGGCTGAGCAGAGAAGAGATTCAGAGCAGCCCTGCAGAGAAGGACTTGGGGCTGCTGGTCTATGAGAAAATGAACATGAGCCAGCTTCAGTTTGTGCTTGCAACCCAGAAAGCCAACCGTATCCTGGGCTGCATCAAAAGGAGCATGACCAGCAGGTCAAAGGAGGTGATCCTGCCCCTCTACTCTGCACTCATGAGACCTCACTTGGAGTATTGTGTGCAGTTCTGGTGTCCTCAACATAAAAAGGACATGGATCAGTTGGAACAAGTCCAGAGGAGGGCCACGAGAATGGTCCGGGGACTGGAGCACTCCCATATGAAGATCGGCTGAGAAAGTTGGGGCTGTTCAGCCTGGAGAAGAGAAGGCTGCATGGAGACCTCCTAGCAGCCTTCCAGTATCTGAAGGGGGCCTATAGGGATGCTGGGGAGGGACTCGTCATTAGGGACTGTAGTGATAGGACAAGGGGTAATGGGTTAAAACTTAAACAGGGGAAGTTTAGATTGAATATAAGGAGGAAATTCTTTCCTGTTAGGGTGGTGAGGCACTGGAATGGGTTGCCCAGGGAGGCTGTGAATGCTCTGTCCCTGGCAGTGCTCAAGGCTAGGTTGGACAAGGCCTTGTGTGATATGGTTTAGAGCGAGGTGTCCCTGCCCATGGCAGAGGAGTTGGAACTTGATGATCTTAAGGTCCTTTCCAACGCTAACTATTCTATGATTCTATGTTACACTGAGTAGACGCAGTAATATATTAACTGAGAAGACTGGGCACAGAGGGAAGGTAATTTTAACTTGCCAATCCTTACTTCCAAACCTACTAACAGTTTTCTCAGGCATTTACTATTGTTTCTGAATCCAGCAAAGTTATAGATTACAAATTAAAATGATGGCCCAAATTTTCTTCTTGACACGAAGCAGTGGTATTTCTAATCTATACAGAAAATGTTGGTATAAATTTTTGCAACTCGGCAAAATACAGACCACGTTCTGAATGCCTCTTCTAAAAAGCATTTTCTCATCCTTGAGTGGGCTGAAGATTTTAATTTTCATCTCCTCTGTTAATTAAGCACTAATGAAAATAAGTAGCAAAAAGCCAGATTTTGAGGGCTCTTCAGGAGCAATCACACACAGAACAGTTGATGAATGAAGTATTAATAATCTTTTAGTATAAAGCAGTAAAGAAAAAATATGTTTTCTAAAGTGTCAGCAAAACCAGCAAATACAACTGTATAGTTGCTTATACATACTGAAATCAACAGTATTGAGCATTTGGAAACCAGGAAAAGGTTTGAAAAGACATCTAAAAATATTTAAATGTCAGGGTGCAAATAAAAATAAATCTCCAGTGACTCCCTACATGATAGACTAACAAAAGCACTAGAGTGTTACATGTGGTTCAACTGTGAAGCATAAATGCAACCTGGTAAACACAGAAATTGCACGCAGAGAAAGC